GATTGATCCCCAGTAGGGGACATGCAGGAGGCAATTGATCAATGTTTCTTTTTCTCTCTCCCTTTCCCTTCCTCACTCTCTAAAATCAAATTTTAAAAAAACATTACTTAGCCCTAGCTGGTTTAGCTCAATGGATAGAGCTTCAGCCTGCAGACTGAAGGGTCCCAGGTTCAATTCCGGTCAAGGGCATGTGCCTTGGGTGAGGGCACATACCCAGTAGGGGGCGTGTAGGAGGCAGCTGATCCATGTTTCTTTCTCATCGATGTTTCTAATTCTCTATCCCTCTCCCTTCCTCTCTGTAAAAAATCAATAAGATATATTTAAAAAAAAAAAGTGGTGACGGAATTTGGGTTTGAGCTTTCAAAGAATGCCTGTAGCTTATGTGCTATATGTTTATCACAAAGATGACTTGCTTGACATTGCCCAGCAAGTCCAGGTGAGCAGTGACAGGCCACCTGGAGAGCCTGGTTGACTTTGCTTGTGCTCCTGAGTTGCATGAGAGGGTCCCCCTTAAAATGATCACACTGGACCTGCTGACAGTTTAACTTTAGTCAGTTAGCCTATTTACATGACTGAATGAAAGAATTGTCTGAAAAGCAGGAGTAAAGATGTAGATATTGGTAGGCCTAATGCAATCCCTCTAGTGTCTGCTGTAGATGCAAATAGAAAAGGCATAAAAAATAAAAATCATTTACCTCAATACACCTGCTTTAAAAAAACCACTTACCACCAGCTTGGTGGTTCACGTACATGAGCTTTGTGATAACTGAGGTAGGCCTTCCCATCCCCGTTTGTCAGTGTGGAAGGTGAGTCGTGCGGTGATGTGTGTGATTGGACCACGTTAATCCTTGCAGAGCTGTGAAGGGATGGGGCTGGCGCTTGAGCTCCAGATTTGTCTGATTCCAAAACTTTACACCGGAATGTTACTATTTCTAGAGTTTTCCATCCTCATTTTGTTCGTGAAACTTGACTATTGATATCTGGTGTATAACTTGTTCAGTCATTATTTCAGAATAAAAAATGAAATACCTGCCAGATGTGTGTAGGAGGGGAAATTGCATTCCCTGTGCCAAAATGCGCTCTCTGAACCTGAAAGCTAGTGAGATGCCTCAGTGGCGTCTGCAGTGAGTTCCATGGCTGTCTGCTGACGTTTGGCATGCGCAGGGCCTGCCCTGGTGCTGGGCACAGAGAGACGCACAGCACAGACTTGCTACCTGCTCTCAAGCAGCCTATTGTAGTAAGGAGACCTGTGAACAAAAGTCCAGCTTGAACCAGTGTCCAGTGTGTATGCGTAATACAACTCAGAAGTTAGCCAGACCTGTATGTGGTTTTAAAAAAATGAGAACCAGTTTACACTAGGACCGAACCCTCCGCATGTTTGAGGACAGCGGAACTGGAATATCTGGGTGTGTGTGACCCAGGCTGACCCGCATTGCCCTTTCAGTTGGTTCAGGTAGCCAGATTCAACCAGTTGGTTGTTAACCTCAGATACTCAAGAGTTCAGACCGGGTAGGGTATTTTCTAAGACTCCAGGACTTCTGTGGCACAAGAGTGACACCAGTGTTAATACTAGTACAGTATCGGTCATTTATTTTCCACCTCCTTATGGCTGTGCCGGGCTACAGGCACAGGGTCATCTCATTTAATCCTTTATGGAGAAGTTGTCTATCATGCCTATTTTGAAGCTGAATTGAATTGTCTAGGGCTGCACATTTATTTTAAGTGGCAGAACTGAGCAATAAACCGAAGTCTGGTAACTGCAAAGCTAATGTTTTAGTCCCCATGCTATAGTGACATCAATTTGGCAACTGCCACTTTTAGGTTGAAACAAATTCCTCTCTTTATTTTTAGTGTTAAAAGCCTAAAGCTAGTGGACTCGAATGTAGCGGTTCCACATTAGTGGGCTGACAGCTTTTCTTGGGGATGCCACGGGCAAGCTCTCACTGGAGCGGGTGTGGATAGCTTTCTGCAGGGGAGGACAGATGACGGGGAATGGCAGCGCGGGTCCCGAGAATCACGTTCAGTGCCTCCTGCCCAGCTCCAGTGGAGACATGCTGGACAGTAATATACCTTCTTGGCAGCTGCTTTGCTGTTTCTCTTGACTTTGGATGTGGACAGTGAGCACAGTGGTTTGAGGACACCGCAGTGGGAACTTAGCTGCCAACCGGGGAGGATACATTTTAGAGAAGGGAGACAGCGTGGTGGACAGAACCCTGCCTCTGGCGCATACAAACTCCAGTTCTACTCTGGTGCCTGCTGCTCCGTAGCTCTGACACTAGGCAAGTTGTTTGCCTTCCTGACCCTCAGATTCCTTATCCCCCAAATGGAGGTGGTTTTGTCTCCCTTCAGAGTTCTGTGAAGTAGAGGAAGGTAACAGCAGCCTCTCTTGCTGATTGCCTACTCTTCTGGGGACAAAAATCTATTTCTTTTCCTGGTTCCCTACTCAAGAAGTGAGAATTCCAGTCTTAGAGTCTTAGATCCAGGGCAGGGTAAGGAAAAGAAAATTGAGACCGTGCACATGATGTGGCCCCTGCTGTCAGGTGTTCTCCTTTGGTTACTAAAAAAAATCAAAAAAATCCGTTGGTAATCTCCCCACTCATCACCGCCCAGAAAGACATTGGTCTGTCTTCTCTCTGCCTGTTGGGCAGGGAGGAATCCGTCAAATCGTGCAGGTTCTCTATGTTGTTATGGTGATGATAATGATTATAACTGTGGTGTTGTGACTGCACCTCGCCCAGAATAACTCTGCATTTATCTGTTTTATATAGCAGAGCTCTTAGAATTTTTTACATAAAATCTTAACTCCTATGGAAATTTTCACACACACACAAAAACAAAGAAACATTCAAGTCAACTTTGAACAAATTTTTAAATTAAACTGTTTTTAGCTCAACTTTTCCTACTCCAACTTTGAGTTTTAGAGCAAATCTTAGAAGACTCAAATAAAAAAGGAGTTTGACAAATCACTGTTTTATGTCAGGATTCAAAAATTTTTAAACAAGGTTCAAAGATTTAAAAATAATACAGTTGTACTGAAGGTTATAAAAGACATGTAAAGTTTACTTCGATCCCCGGTCTCACTTGCCAAAGTATCCCTTACTGATTTCCCATTATTTCAGAAAAAAGCTTTAAAAATTACAAACAGAACCATACTATATATTTATTACTTTTAATTAATAACTTTTTCAATTAATAATATACATTGATCATTTTTCATATCAGCACATAAAACCCTACTGTTTTATAGCTATGTAGTAGTATTTTATCATATGGCTTTGTAATTTTTTAAAAATATATATTTTTATTGATTTCAGAGAGGAAGGGAGAGGGAGAGATAGATAGAAACATTAATAATGGGAAT